GATTTTGAAAATTTTTTAATTAAAAAAAAATAAAAAATTTAAACAATTATTATGTAAAAATTATCTAACCGAATTGGATAAAATTTAGTGTGATGATTCTATGCACTAAGAAGTTTAATTGGGAAAAGTATGAAGATCCTAGGTATTATTCAAGTGTCTGAAAAAAATTGACAAATAAACTAGCATTTTTTGCAATTTTTTAAATGATTTTTCCGATTTTTGCAATAATAATTATTATTTTTTCGAATTGCAACTAACTCTATCTTGTTCAAAATTTAATTACAAAACTTTTTTTCCTCTTTCATTTTTGTCTAAAATGAATAGTTGCTAAGTTGTCGACGAGAAATCCAAGAAAAAAATGATTTTTTTTTGTTTTTTTTTTTTCTTTTTTTGCATTACCATTTAGGCCCCGTTTTTTTTTATTTTCATAAAAAAATTATCTTTTCTGTTGTTATTTAGAAGCCGTTAAAGCAAAAATCTCCGATCATATGCGTTTTACCCAAGTATACCCTTTTTAAAACAGATACCGCCTGTACTATCAGTACGTTTTTGGGGTCGCCGAATCCGAATCTGGTGTCTGTTTGACCCGATCAGGTGTGCTCAATGCTTTCTAAAAATATTAATACGGAAGATGTTTATAAAAATTAGTTTGGTTATGAACCCCAAAGTGAAGAATTTGATTGGGTTTGAGCAGAGAGAAAGGTTTCACCAATATATTGAAGAAGATATGAAAGAAGTAAATCTAGGTGACAATGAAACTATCGCTGACAGTGCTAGTGATACTAATGACGACGAATATATTCCATATCACGTTGTAAAAAAAAACAGGATAAAAAGTAAATGATCTTGTTCGAGATTTGAGCAAAGGACAAAAATACTAAGCAAGCCGAAAAAGTGAAGCTTCTTACTATCGGACTAGAAATAAAGAATTTCGCAAATATGTCTCTATCGATAAAGAATTTTCCTCAAATTTACTGTAAGGATGTCGTTGGATTAATGAATCACTTCAAACATGAATGATATAAACCTAACGAATGAAGGCTGTTAACTGATGCATTCGGTGATATTGAAAGAAGAGGATAATGAGAATGAGAAGATGAGACTGTAATCTGAGGATAATCTTACATAAGATCAAATATGAACAACATAAATGGCAAATTTGTGAGAATCATCACAATAATACTAGGTCAACAATCGTGATTCACAAAAACGCCTTGCTTTTTATGTAAATGGGATAGTCGGGATAGAAAAAACCATTACGTGAAGAGCATTTGGCCTCCTAGAGAAGCCTTCGCTGCTGGGTTTTAGAATATAAAATATGAGCCACTTGTTGATTCATCAAAATTTTTTTAAGTATATCGAAGATCAGTTCCCCAATTTAAGTGATGCCAAATTGCAGCAAGGAACTTTTAATGGACCTCAGATCCTTAAGATCACATTTTTGTTATTAGAATGAATGAAAACGAAAAAACAGCATATTGTTATGTTTTAAGGAACTAATCGTAAATTTTCTAGGAAATCAAAAGAATCCAAACTATAAAAATATACCTAGTGCAGAATTTGTTAGTAAGCTTTAAAAACTTGAATCTTAAATTATATTTTTTACATTTTCATGTCGATTATTTCCCAGAAGATTTGGTTAATTACAGTGCAGAGCAGGGAGAGAGATTTGACAGCAAAATATTTGATACCACAATCGTGAATAGCAGTCTCGCTACCATAACAGTGAGATATAATAATCTAGTTGAGAAAACCCAATTTATTGCTGAAGCTTTGGATGCAGGAAGTCAGGTTGATGTTGTGTATACCGACTTTTCTAAAGCTTTCGATCGGCTTGATCACAATTTATTAACTTTTAAATTGGAGTCTTATGGTATATCTCCTGCTCTATTAACTCTGTTTAAATCCTATTTTAGTAATAGGTACCAATTTGTGCAGTATCGAGGCTTTCAATCATGTAAATTCCATCAATCTTCAGGAGTTCCGCAAGGGTCAATTCTGGGACCACTGTTATTTATTATTTTTATTAATGACTTAACTGAATGCCTCGATGTCAACTATTTACTATATGCGGACGACCTGAAGTTATTCTTGGAAGTTAAATCATCTACTGACTGTACTACATTACAAGATAATCTTGACAGATTACACAATTGGTGTTCATGTAATAATCTACCTCTGAATGTAAGTAAATGTAAATTTATGACTTACAGTCGACGCAAAACTAATCTAGATTTTGATTATAAAATTGGTGAATCTTTTTTAAATAGAGTTACGCAATTTACTGACCTTGGTGTTACTTTCGATACCAGATTATCGTTTGACGACCACATTAGTTTAGTAACCAAATCTGCTTATAGGAATTTAGGCTTTATTTTGCGTAATTCTAAGGACTTTCAGAACGTAAAGATTCTAAATATATTGTATGCAGCATTTGTGCGTTGCAAACTTGAATATGCATCGGTTGTTTGGAGTCCCATTTATAATATCTATAATATTCATTTAGAGAAAGTACAACGGAGATTTTTAAAGACTATTCATTTTATTAGTTATGGATTTTATCCTCCTCGTGGTACACCTCAAGATTTATTGCTTTCTTGTTTTAATTTTAATAGTCTCTGTCGTAGGCGAATTATGTTTTCAATTATATTCCTTTTTAAAATCATAAATAACACGTTAAATGCAGACTCGTTAGTCTCAAGGATTTTATATCATGTTCCTAGACTTAATTCTAGATTTCACTCCGTTTTACAATTACCCACACCTCGTACCAACTTACTAATAGCATCTCCCCTATATCAAATGATTTCCAATTACCAGAAGTATGAAGATCGACTTGATATATTTTTTCATTGTATGAATGACATAAAAAAAATTGTTTGTCTAGTAAATGTAATCCTTATCTTGTATATGTTTGTTAGCTTATTTGTTTTATCTGTCTGTTACTGTTTATCCTTAAGTTTTTTGTCTGGATTTTATATTTTGATTGATCTATGTTATTTAGTATTTATATTTTTATATTTAATGTTAGTTTGTATTTTTCTTTTAAAATTTAGTTAAGGTTTTCTGTTTTACCTTATCCTATAATTGGGACTTTGTCCCGTTGGATATTGTAATTTCTAAATAAATAAATAAATAAATAATAATATTCTTTTGTTATCTATTGGTTCACTGGCTCACTGTATACATTAATGTATACGAAGCATTAACGGACACATAGGTTTAAAGCTTTCTTTCTTTGATCCTATTTGTAACTCAAATTTTAGTACCCATAAATGCTTGTTGTGTTGAGTTTCGAACTTGAAGGTATTTAGCAGACCTGTTCGGGTCAAACGGACACCGGATTCGGATTCAGCGACCCCAAAGACGTATGGATATGTAGGTTTACTCTGCTGGCAATTGATTGCCTACATTTGACCTTGAACTGGCCTTAACTCAGACTTGATCGGGTCAAACGGATACCGGATTCGGATTCAGCGATCCCAAAAATATATAGGTATGTAGGTTTACTTTGTTGGCAATTGATCCTCTACATTCCACCTTGAACTGACCTTAACTCATACCTGATGAGGTCAAACGGGCACCGGACTCGGATTCAGCGACTACAAAAACGTATAGAAATGTATAGTTTACTTTGTTGATTATTGATTCTCTATATTTGACCTTGAACTGACCTTAAACCACAGGACATATATATTTCTGGTAAAAAGTATTAAGTATTTTTCATTTCAACAATAGTTACTACTTTTAATTTTAGTAAATGAAAATAACTACTGGACTTACGCGCTCACAAGGGAGATGTTGTAAGCTATATCCGCGTATGAAATTCCTCCAGAGACAGCAGCTGACAATAGGTATCCGTTTGCAGATAGAGCTTCTTTAAGTTCTGTAAGGAGTAGTATATAATTTGCCTGAAAAAATGTAATTAAGATTAAAAAAGTACTTTTAGTGTTGGTCAGAAAACTTAGTTTACGACTGGAGTTGACGAATGGACATTAATATTAGTACAATTCTAAGACATGATGCCAAATCAAAACAGGAGCTAGGAAATGTAATTTTGTATTTGTCCAATAGTTCATTCACAAGCCAATAATTACAGGACAAAGTTTATAAAGGAAATATAAATAAAATAATAAACCAACACAGAGTATAACTAAAAAATAACAATACATAGATGAAACGAGCTAACACGAGTACAATTATATTCAAACGTCACTGGCTATTTAAACTTGGAATACAAAGTTTTCAAATTGCAATAAAAGATATTACATGAGGTACATATTTTGTTATAATTACACGCCATTATACAGGGTGAGTCATTAGGGTGAGATTATTAACGTTAAAATATAGCGATTGAGCCAAACATGCCTTAATCAATTTTTGTACCTTTTCGTTCTACAGGATGTGTAGAAAAAATATTGTTTCTTTATTTCTTGCTATATTTTAAATATGTATGGACCAATTGTTTTGAAAATTTGTAGTTTTACGTTTTTTGAGATGACAAATACGAATATGCAAACAGTGTTGGGGTCACGTCTAGGGGGCACTAGTTATACATATTGTCCTATCAATGTAAAAATATATCTAACTTTTTGTATTTTAGAATTTTGAATTTTTTAATAAGAAATTATTGAACTACGTTCAATTCTAAATAAAAAAGGTATACTTGTTACAAATTAATAAACTCAACCGTTTTCGAGATACAGACATTTAGTCCAGTATACAACGGTAAAAGTAGGGTATTACCTCCGAATTCTCGACACAGGCACCGATTTTCTTGAAAATTGGTGAGTAAGCTCATTTCGCCCTCTTTTACAAACGTTACATATCCATAATGTAATTGTTTTTAGGGAGTGAAATCTACCCCTTCTTGCAGAAAACGTAAAAACCATAGATTTAAGTGTATGTCAATAGAATAAACATTCTTTTATTTTGAATAATAATTTTTTATTTGTAGCAGCATTTCAACCCTTAAAATCCTCCCTTTTTGGGGAAAAAAAAACAAACATTTCGCGGCTCTGAAATGTTTTGACGGAGCAATAGTTTAGTTTGGTTTAGTTCAGTGTTTATTGACCATGTTAAATTGCATACAATCTTTATGCCAAATTATATACAAAAATAAAAAATGTATACACAAAAAAAATAAATTAATAAAAAACATATCACAATAAATATTACAAGCAATATAACCAATATACCAAGGCTAATAATGAAGAATTGAATATTTTTTACTGTTTATGAAATAATACATGATTTATTGCAACGTTTCAAACCACCCTTATTGCAGAAAATAAAGCAAAAAAATTTTTCACATCTTCATAGCATTTATAATGAATGAAAAACTCACGAAACGAAACAATCACTGTTTATAATATTACTGATGATTCATTGCAACGTTTCAACCCTTAAAAACAACCAAAAACATACATGTGTGTGTGTGTGTGTTTGTGCGTGTATTACGCCTCGGAAACTATCGGAAATTAAGCCTGTTATGTATGACGAAAACTCGCCGTTATTTTTTGCGAATACCACGAAGTTTTTATAATAGTTTTTATGATTCTCAACTAGCATAAGAACCACCGTTTATCTGTGAATCCATATAGTTTGTTTGTGGCTTTTACCAATAAATATAGTGTTATTAGTAAGGTGCGAGTTTTACTTCCTGAAAACAGAACAATATTAGGATTTGTGGATTTTGATACTATTTTTTACGTAAACCGTAGTGGTTTCGACGTGTGCTCAATAATAAGAATAAAAATCAAATTATTTTTCGTTCTTATTCGCAAGAGGTACGTTTTGGTATCAGCAATGCCTAACTCCACAGAATTTTTGCCCAGTAAAAAATATCGAAAGTTTCGATTATAAAACTTCAAACTTTTTAGTTTTTAAAGAACGTCTAATGCAAACTTTTATTGCTAATAATATCAAATACGATAGCCGTAAAAAAGCAGTGCTTTTGTGTTCTTTAAATGAAGACTGTTATTATTAAGGAATTTGTGTACCCCAGAGTTGCCAGAAACCAAAACTTATAACAAATTAGTGGAAATTTTGTCAAACTTTTTTGCACCAATTAAATCCGTTTTTGCAGAACGTTTGAAATTCTTCACTGCAAAAAAAGGCGATAACGAAAGTGTGTCGGAGTGGTCGGCAAGAATTAAAAGTTTGGCAGCAAGCTGTGATTTTGGTGCGGAATTTGAAATTGTGTTACGCGATATTTTCACGATTGGCTTGGGGGAAAGTCCAGTGCGCGACAGGTGCTTTGAAGTAGATGCATCTTCTAAGGAAACAACTTTGGCAAAAATGCTAAAAATTGCATTGACCAAGGAGGCTAACGTCAACGAAAAGTCGCTTAGCAGTAATTTGAAGACGGAGCCGGTGAATTTTCACCGACAGCGTTCCAACACATTTCGCCCGTCCCGAGGAGGCTCTTGGCAGCAACAGCAGCAGAGGTCGCCAGCGGCGGCAGCAGCGAGCACTTCTTGGCGTTCTCGAAAGGAAGATAGAACGACTGATGGACCGTCATCGTCAGGCTATTCTTCACAGTCAGCGCAGCTCAAAGGTAGTAAATGCAACGTTTGTGGACGTCGCAATCACAACTCTAACGATTGTTCATTTCGAAATTGTTTCTGTCATAAATGTGGTGGCAAAGGTCATTTAGCCTCTGTCTGTAAAAGTGCAAAAAAGCGTAATAGTCACAATTTTATGGCAGAAACAGAGTCAGATCCTCCTGGCGCAACAATTTTCAATTTAAATTCAATTGAAGTTGATTCAACAGGCAATGTTAAACCTAGTTATGTTAAATTAATTGTCGAAAATATTCCAATTAACTTTGAAGCAGATTCAGGTTTTGCACATGCTGCAATTTCGGAAAAACTGTATTTAAAATATTTTAAAAATAAAGAAATGTATAAAAATGATTTAACTTTGAAAGATTACATTGGAATTGCATTTAAACCACTTGGTTATTTATCATTAGATGTTTTTTTTGAAAACAAAAATTATAATTTAAAGGTTTATGTAATTAAGGATGGCGGACCGCCTCTGATTGGTAGGAATGGTTTAGGTATGCTAAATTTAGGAATAGGTAAACTAAAATTTATAAATAATGAGAGCATGTTAAGTGGTTCAGCTAATATTAATCAATTAATTGAAAAATATTCTGAAATATTTGATAATAAGCAAGGTACTTTCAATAAATTTCAAGTGAATTTACAAGTGAAAGACTCTGCTGTACCCAAGTTTTGTAAACCAAGTACCATTTTCATTATAAGAAAAAATTGAAAAAGAAATTATGAGACTTGTTGACAATAATGTTCTTGAACCGGTTGAATTTTCAAATTGGGCTACACCTATAGTTCCTATTTTAAAAAAAAGTGACAATCTTAGAATTTGTGGCGATTTCAAGGTAACCTTAAATCAACAGTTAATAGTTCAAAAATATCCCTTGCCTAGAATAGAATATCTATTTAGTCAATTACATGGAGGTGATAAATTCTCAAAAATTGATTTATCTGAAGCATATCGGCAAGTTTTATTGACCGAGGAGTCAAGGAAATACGTTACTATATCTACTCATAAGGGGCTTTTTGCTTATACTCGCCTACCATATGGCATAACTAGCGCACCCAGTATTTTCCAAAATATAATGGAGCAAATGCTATGTGATTTGCCGGGAGTTGTATGCTGTTTGGATGATATTTTGATTACCGGGAAAAATGACCAGGAACATTATGTGCACCTGGAAAATGTTCTATCGCGTTTACATGAATGCGGATTAAAGGTAAAAAAAAGAAAAATGTTCGTTTTTTCAGGATAGTGTACAATATTTAGGTCACAAAATTGACAAAAACGGTTTGCATACTACAGACGAAAGAATTTACGCGATAAAAAATGTGCCGGTGCCGACAACGGTAACCGAGTTAAAATCATTTTTGGGAATGGTAAATTTTTATAATAAATTTATTCCAAATGCATCGACAATTTTAAAACCTCTTTATTCGTTACTTAAGAAAGATAGTAAGTGGGTGTGGTTTGGTAAATGTAAAAAAAGTTTTGAGGATGTAAAAAAAATGTTAATGTCATCGGTGTTAGAGATCTTTTAATATCTCATGAGCCACAAAATGCGCGAAAGGAGTGGCGTATCCCCATAATTCTTCTAATAAGCACGTTGTGAAAACATTGACTCAGAATTAGACTACATGCCTCATTACAACTAGAAATGAACTAAGGCGCTCGGGCATCAATAAAGTCAACTGGCGAACATTCGTTATATATATTTTTATTGTTTAAATTATAATAATAAAGAATAGGGCATTTTATTATGATATTTGTAATCATATCAAAGGCTTGTTTACGCTAGAGTTCGAGAGAGACTGTGAATAATAGGTGTAATGTTTTTAGGACGTAGAATAATTTAGGCGACGGTCGGAATTATGTTTCTGCGCATATGAAGGTCAAAGCTCATAAGATTTTAAAACATCTCTAACACATTTTGACCCAGACAGATTAATCAAATTAACGGTAGATGCATCAAGTTTTGGTGTAGGGGCGATAATTAGTCACGTATATGATGATAAGAGTGAACGTCCTATTGCTTTCGCCTCACGTTTATTAAACTCGACTGAATTAAGTTATAGTCAAATTGAAAAAGAAGCTTGCGCGATAATTTTTGGAGTAAAAAAATTTTCCAATATTTATATGGTAGAAAGTTTTTGTTATATTCGGATCACAAACCTCTTTTGTCGATATTCGGGTCTAAGAAAGGTATTCCACAATTCGCAGCTAATCGGTTGCAACGTTGGGCGCATATTTTATCAGCATTTGATTATGACATTCATTACGTAAATTCAAATAACAATAGTGCAGATTATTTTTCGAGACATCCAGTTGATAGCGAAAATTCAGATTATAATTATTCAAAACAAAATTATTTATTTAGTGATTTACAAATAGATATGAATGAAATATCTTATTTAAATTTCTTGAAAGAATCAAGTTTTCCATTAAATTTTAAACAAATTAAAAATGAAACGTCCAAAGATATAATATTGAGTAAAGTCATATTTTTTTTACGTAATGGATGGCCAAATAAATGCCCAAGTTCAGATTTAGAACCTTTCTACACTAAGAAAAATGAATTATCAATTGAACAAAATTGTTTAATGTGGGGATATAGACTGGTAATTCCACAAAAATTTAGACAAAATGTTTTAAATGAATTACACTCAGCTCATATGGGAATAGTAAAAATGAAATCTCTAGCGCGATCATACGCCTTCAATCGATAAGCAAATCGAACAAATTTCTCAAAATTGTAATACTTGCGCAAAATTTGCCGTTACACCTAAAAAAACTCCACTGGTTGTGTGGGAGTGGCCAAAAGAAGTATGAACGCGTATTCACACAGCCTCTTTTGGGCCGTGTTTAGGTAAATACTTTTTTTGTGGTGGAAGATGCTACCTCAAAATGGTTAGAGTGTTTTGAAGTAAATAATATAACTAGTAGTGTTACGATTAAGATTTTTCGCGATCTTTTTGCAAGGTTTGGTTTGGCAAAAAAAATATGTACGGACAATGGCCCGGCCTTCACTTCCACCTAATTTAAAGATTTTGTTGCAAAAAGTGGTATTGAACATGTAACTGGAGCACCATTTAACCCGGAGACAAACGGACAGGCGGAAAGCGGAGTTAAAATTATGAAAAAAGCTATTCTGAAAGGTAAAAGTGACGGTTGCAATGATATCAATTTAATAATAAATCGTTTTTTATTTCAATATCGGAATACTCCGTATACAACTACAGGAGAGTCACCTGCAAAACTTCTTATGGGCAGAACTTTGCGTTCAAAATTTGATTTAATGCTACCATCCGTTCAAAATGTTGTCACACAAAAACAATCAAACCAAAAAAAAAATTATAGAGGTAAACATAATAGATATTTTGAGATACATGACTTGGTATGGGTACGAGATTACAGATCTGGTAATCCAAAGTGGTGTTCAGGGTGCATTAAACAAAAAATTGGTAGGAAAACATATATTGTAGCTATTGAGGGAGGAATTGTCTGGAAAAGACATGTAAATCAATTAAGAAAAAATAAAAATGATCAGTCACTGAAACAGTCTCTTCCGGTTATTCCCCTCTCTACACATGTAGATAATAATGTAGTAGACGTAAGCACCAGATAGACTGCAAATTGTGTAAATATTATGTATATATTTTTTGTTGTTAATATTATTTTTTTTCTCTTCCGGTCTTCAAACAATAAAGGAGGGAGGTGTTATGTATGATGAAAACTCGCCGTTATTCTTTGCGAATACCACGAAGTTTTTATAATAGTTTTTATGATTCTCAACTAGCATAAGAACCACCGTTTATCTGTGAAACCATATAGTATGTTTGCGGCTTTTACCAATAAATATAGTGTTATTAGTAAGGTGCGAGTTTTACTTCCTGAAAACAGAACAAAGCCATTTACACAATTCGACAATTTTCACTGAATAATACGATTAGTTTTCTCACGATAATTTTTTAATTTTTAATATTTTTCATCGCTCCAAAATGCAATTTGCAGGGAATTGCAGGAGCTACAAATCAACCTTTATAGTCGAACGGTCTTGAACTCTTCGTTTTCGAGATTTTTAGGTTTTAAGGGCTCAAAGAAAGTTGTCCTTACACGCAAATGCAAACTGTACTGTACAAGCAATATTGAAAAGGCACAGATTCAAGCCATACTTCAAACCTCAAAAAGTATAAGCATTAAAAGAAAAGATAGAGAAAGACGGCTACAGTTTTGTCGCTTTTATTTAAATTCAACGCGACGAGTCCCAGTTTTTCACACAAAGATTATTTGGTCAGACGAATGTACATTCAGCGTTAATGGTATGTTTAATCTTTAATCCACCGACATTGGGGCCAAGAAAACCCTCGGATTATCGTGGAAACAAATTATCAGCGAAGGTTTACTTTCAATGTGTGGTGAATACCAATTGATTGACCACCACATTTAATGTTAAGTGGATAGGAACTTACGGTCCTATTTGATGGCCTGCCCATTCTCCAAATCTTACTGCACTTGGTTTGTTATAATTTCTTTGCCTAAGAATTATACGTACTTGTCGTGAAATACCCATCAATTTTATATTGAATGCGACTCATGCAGTACCTATTTAGAGGATGTCAGTTATGTCTTGATTATGGCGGCAGTACTTGTACAGTACAATAATTTTATTTACTTTATTAATTTTTTTCTTTAGTTGTTTTGTGTTTGTTGTTCTTCGTTCAATATGTTTTCTATTTCGTGTTAAACTTTGTATAATGGTTAATGAATTTAATTAAGTTGTTTTTCTTCTAATTGATATTGAGTTTTATTTGCTTTACTGTATTATTTTTTGTTTTCCATGGCACAGAAGATTAGTCAAAATACGTTTGTTATGAATTAGTGGCCAGGCGCCGAATAATAATATAATATTTTGACATCTTTTCTGTAACAAATGCTTCACAAAAGTCAAGTTCATATACATCGTTACATTCAGAAAAGAATTCTGCACAATACTAAATTAAAAATAAAATTATATTGCTATTTGAAAAAAATTGTTGTCTATCGTTTTTCGAAAAAAAATTATTTATATAGAGCTATTTCATTTAATTTTTTGTTTTTTAAAATCAGACTATAAGTAACGGAGTTACGGCTTGCAGCATTTTTTAGGAGACAGCCTTCAGTAGTAATTGATCCAAAATTGTGTTTCACTGCCAACCTACGTTGTTGCTCTTATTTTGTTTAGGGGCCTGTTAATGTTTCCATTGAGTTAATTTTTCGTTGTCCCATATATTAAAATAAATTACTTACATAGTCGAAATCAGCATCACTTCCATCCCCTATTCCTGGGTACAGCCAGGCGAGATCAAACCCATGGAAACCGTGGTCAGTAAGGAACTGCACGACTTCTGCAACAAGAACCGTACGTTTCGCCGAATCAGCTGCAACTATTGAGTAATTTTTCGAGCCCTCGTTCCATCCACCCATACCGACCATGAGCTTTAAGTCTGGGTTGACTTGAGTTAGGTTAGCAAAATTAGAAAAACCATCTGAAAATAGAAAAATGTGAATTGTTGTAGAAACTCACTAACGCATTTTATTACAAATAAGAATATGTATATAATAAGACCGACATAAATAAGTTTGCGTCTGATATAGCTCCGCAAATCTACGTTTGAGTGAATAGGATCGAGTATTCCAAATTTCCATATGTTTCAAAAGTGATAAATGACAAGTGAACGAGACAATCACAAGAAGTTGTAGCAAATGTAACACATTATAAGCTGCGTGAATCTGATGAAGGTCTGTTAAAAAGGTACAAGAGAGAACTAATCTTGTGACTGAAATAAGCAAGAAAGCAAATAAGTTTAAAATATTGACAAGGAAATGAATGCTATTACGAATGGTGAACAGTCAAGTTTTTTAACATCAAATAGGAAATAATAAAAAAAGNGGAGACTTATTTTAAATTATAATAAATAATTACCCAAAAATGGGTTATTTTTCGAAAAAAAATGGAATACATATTTATTCTTAGAAATAAATGTGCTTATCCAATCCAGAAAATATGCAGTAGCATCGATGAAGTTTTGGGACTACCATCACCGGTTGACAGATTGTTTATTAATCAATTTTTGCCACTAATCTAGGTCGTTGCCCCAGGCTTCATCAATCAATCTACGTGAAACATTTTAACAGATATTTTAAAAACGTATTATTTTTTACTTTGAGATGTTCTACCCAGGTAAAGACCCGTATAGTAAGTTAACTTAGTTTTAGATTAATGTTTGCTAACCTACTATAAAGTTACTAGTTACGCGATAAGAATAATTTACATACAGGGTGATTTACAAACAGTGACCAAAAATGAAACCTTGTATTCTATGGTGGATTTCAAGGGAAGTCGTTCGTATAAAGTTTTTATCTAGGACGTTTCCTTAAAAAGATAACGGGAAATTAAAGTTAAAAAAAATATATTTTTTAAATAATTTTTTCTAAATAAAATAGTACACCTCTGCTTTACGGTAACAATCATGATATTTTCGGATTCGTCTTTCAATTTTTCTACAAATTACTAATGTCTTATGTTTTTCGATAAAAGCCTGATTTTCGAGTGAACCTTCTTAAAAACCGAACTGAAAACACATATCGATATTCGAATAAACTTCGGTTTAAAATCACATGGTAGGCTGCGATAGCAACTTTGACATTCTGTCAATAATTTGATTATTATTCCATAATTGTTTTTAAAATATCAACTACAAACTTTATTATTATTATTATTTCTAAGTTAATTTCTAATTTCTGGACTTAAAATTCACCAAAGAATACGAGGTTCCATTTTTGGTCACCGTTTGTGAATATATTAGTGATATGTTAGATAGGTAACGATTCCACTTATTACGTTTTTCAATTGAGCTTACGATTACGATTAATTGCTAATGGACAACTAAAGAAATTACACCTTTAACACAAATTATCTGATGGAGTGATAGTAACATGATATCTTTCAAGTCATATCCCCTGCTTTTATGTATAGAAGTGTTTTGGGGTGAGTATTACTATACGTGTTTCTGACAGCAAAAGCAAAAATTACGAGGTACTCACTTAATCCATCCCTGCCAGATTCCCACTCGTCTAGTATATGAATATTCCCATCAGCGGTAATACCTATAAATGCATATATAACATGTGTACATAGGTATGGATCTATATTTCCCACATCGAATTGACCAGTTCCAGTTCTGTAAACAGACCAACTTGTGAAGTAGCAAACGATATTTTTCGCTGAATCTGAAAAAATAATAATACCAATTTAGATTACGATATTTTTATGAGATTTGCAAACAAATATGATATTGTATCAGGGTTGACAACCCCACTCGTGCAGGTGGAACCAAAATTATCGTGCAATATTGTACTCAAAATGAAAAAAAATATATTTTGTGTACTAATTTATTAAGGATGTACTTGAGGAAATTATTTGTCACCTATAAAAGTTTTAACTGGACTTATCCAATTCGTTTTTCTAGCAAAAATTTTAAGGTTGGTTTATCAGATTTATGAATGATTAAGTAAGATATTTTAACTTTTAGAAACAACTTTTTAGTTTATTTCGATGTACAGGGTGATTCACTATATTTTGACAGCCCTATTAACTTTTATGTTTTTAGAGTTATAAAAAAACGTGAAATACAAAAGTTGCCCGATTTTTGTATGAATGTTTCGAAAATAATAGTAGAAAAACAAATTAAGTCCATACAAAATGGCCTCGGATGTAACTTTGTAAATTTAAATGGAACACCCTGTATATTTTTACATATTTATAGGACGTTCCCTATACTCACATAGGGTTTTTTGGGTCCATCTGTAACAATAAGCCATATACTATTAAAAAAAGAAAAGACGGTTTTTTATTAAGAAAATAAGATAATTATCTTGTAATTGTTAGACATCTTTCGGGCATTTCTCCTTTTTTCCAATTACGTAAGGACTTACAGATTTAGTTGTAATACATTTTGACAGATCGGACATTGATATGGTTCAGAATGCGTATAGGTATTTTAACTAAATCGCACTGATTAAGCCGTGAGAGACCTAACTACTCATGGACAATGTTATATGGTAGGCCGTGACACTGACAGGTAATGTCATGACAACATTGTTATTGTTTGACAGTTTGTATTATTATATAATTAAAATGGGTTACACAGAAGTAGAAAATTGAAATATTATAGGAATTAAAATAGAGTAAAGTTCTTCTCCATACTCTATCAATTAATAACAATGTTATCATAACATTACTGTCTGTCACTGACTACCTACCATATAACATTGTCCATGAGTAATTAGGCCTCTCACAGCCTAATTAGTGCGATTTTGTTAAAATACCTATACACATTTTGGACCGTATCAATGCCCGATAAGTCAAAATATATTATAACTAAATCTGTAAATCCTTACGTAATCAAAAAAGGCAGAAATGCTTGAAAGAGGTCGAACAATTACAAAATGTCTTATTTTCTTAATAAAAAACCTTGTTTTAGTTTTTTAATAGTATCCCACTTAATGTTAGAGATGGGCTCAACATACCCTACGTTCTATCCAAATATGTAAAAATATACGGAGGTGTTCCACTTAAATTAACAAAGTTAACATCGGCGGCCGTTTTGTTTGGACTTCATTTGTTTTTCAACTATAATTTTCGAGAAATTCATAAAAAATCGTGCAACTTTTGTATTTCACATTTTTTTATATCTCTTAAAACAAAAAAGTTAAAGGGGGCTCAAAATATAGTGAATCACCCTGTAGAACTCAATATTTCTTTTATACCGGTTCTAGATTGCACTGTCTCCTTGTTAGATAGATATTTATTTAACTGATTAATGATATGAATGGGGGTCATATTTTTACAGAGGCTTCCTTTGACCTTTAGAAATATATATCAATAGTTTATTTTTTCAAATTCCATTGTGAAAACTTTTTTAAACCTTTTTTAGTGGGTTTCATACCCCGCCGCTGAACAAGTCTCAAACAACGGCGCGATTTAGTCGCGACGCATGCACAATTGAAAACTGGGCTATATATTGTTGGCGTGTCGTATCTTATATTTAAAGGAAAGGCTCTTAAAAAGCAAATTCCGAGCTCTACTATCCCACAAAAACTAAAGTTTAATTATTTTAAACAAGAACTATGAAACAGTATTTAACGAATAACCTAACAACAAACTCAAGCAGTAATCAATAATGATAAATGAAATACACAAAAATAAATAAATAATCTGTTTATTCACCTTAATCTTTTAAAACAACTTAAGATTTTGTGGCAAATCTTTTAGTATCCTGATCCAAGGCCATTAAAATTTCTAGTACAAACATCCCATAATCACTTAATTGTTGAACTAATCTGACAAACAGTTTCTTATTCGGTACTTACAAGTCAGCGTAATTTATCTAATATCGTTTTCTTTGCTTCTGACAAAAAGTAGGCTCTAACCGTATCAACTCTTTCTTGATTCGTAAGCTGCTTTTTCATAATGTACAAAAACTTGAAATTAAAACCCAAATTTCACTGTATCGTCAGTGAACACTTAAATAAATAACTATAACTTACACCACATAAAAGCACTTTATGTACAACTTTGCCCGAACCGATAAAGTGGAAGACTAACCAAATATGTAACCAAATGAAACGGTACAGTTTTCGGCCATTCCTGTTTTAGATCAGGTGCGAGGACAGTCGCTTATCCGCGCCTTCAAAGACATACCACCACAGACAATATAGCTTAGCGATAGCTATTTTGTCTGTGGACATGCCGCAACAGAACAGAGGTTTTTTAGTGTTCGACGCTTCGTCCAAATTGACATATAAAAAATAACAAGTCGTAATATTAAATTAATCTGTTTTCACAAAATTATTTGCAATTAGTAATGTATCTCTGTACTAATATTAGTTAATATTTAATGAATCATGTAAAAATTTTTGTTTTTTTAACCCTCGTCAACCCTCAGCACCCTTTGCCTCCCACATTTGTTTTCAGCGTCCTAGAAAACGTAGGCATACACAACTCACTCGACTTTGTATGAAAATTAATACTTCAACCCCCATAAAAGGGTGTATAGGGGTGGTAAATTGACTCTAGGGGGTAACGAGGGGGTCTTATTCATTTTTGGTAGACTTCTTCGTTCTTAGTGGCCCAGAAAACAAAGGAATACTCATCCCACTTGACTTTGTATGAGAAATGACATTTCAACTCCCAGAAGGGAGGAGGTAACGGGGAAATGGCTAGTAAATTTTTTTTAATGGTCATATTCGGTTTCAGCGATCCCAAAAACGAGGGGGTAGGAAGGTCTACTCTCTGAGTCTTGACACTTTTTTTTTGTGTGCCTGGCGTGGTTTTTTCAGTCTTGGTTCACTTTCTGCACGATATTCACTCGACTGAATGGGTGTTTCCAGGTCGTAATCATAGATCCAGGTCTCGTCTCCAGTAATAATGCGTTTCATTACGTCTTGGTAGTCAGAAATCATTGTTTCACAGATGTCAATGCGACGCTGTTTTTTCAAAAAGTTCTGTGTTTTTTTAACCAAACGAGATTTGACAACGAATCATTTAAAATGGTATTTACCTAACCTTTTGAAATGCCAACATATATCAACAGTCTCTTATTGTTAATCGACGGTTTTGCAGCACAAATCTTTGACTAACGTGTTGTTCATCAGTTGATGGTCGTCTGGGACGTTCTTCGTCCATAACGCTTTCTGTGTCTTCTTTAAAGTCTTTGTACCACTTTTTTAACATTTTTTCCCGACATAACCTCATCACTAGGCATTATATAACATCCCCAACGTTTCCGCGGCAGAATATTTATTCCGCAAACAAAATTTAATACTTAATTCTTTGCTCAACAAAATCAGACAGTGAAAATCGATAAACTCACTTTCGTATGTTTACAAAAATAGTAATGGCTTTGCAGCAATTGAATATTTAAAGTATCAATTATCAGTAACTAATCTTGGCGATCTCTACCATATAGGCGATATTAACAAAGCATGGCAATATTTTTGGAACAATTTATTATACTGTTTAGATTTAACTTGCCCAATTACTAAAACTAAAGTTTATTTAAATTGCGACAGGGCCACTAACTGGTTAGACAATGACATCTTAAAGGATAGTCAACAGCAAAATTTGTCAGATGAAACAACATGTGAACATTATAAAATCATGAAATGACAATTTTCTGGTAACATATCTCTTAAAAAAAAAACAGTTTTATGCAAAAAGATTAGAGAGTTTTTCTAACATGACCAAAGAAGTGTGGGCTAAGGGTGTTAAGTCTAAAACAGTTAAAACGAAAGCAAATATAAGCATACCGTTTATAACAGACAACAACGTTACAATAACAGATCTGACAAGGATTGGAAATATTTTTTGTTCTTATTTTGCTGAAATTGCAACCAAAACTTTACGTAATACATATCCTGTATTAAGTGGAGATTGTTCTACTGGAGTGGAATGTCCCTCTTCTATTTTTTTCTATGATATCACACCGTTTGAAATTGAAAACATTCTTAACACAATGCAAAATAAATCATCAAGTGGTCCAGATGGCGTTCCAATTAAAGTTATAAAATATATTTTTCAGTTCCTTATTAATCCGTTGTGTTACATTTTTAATTTATCAGTCAGATCTGGAGTCTTTCCTAATGCGTTTAAATTAGCCAATATCATTCCATTATATAAAAAGGGAGAAACCGATTGCATCTGCAGCTATAGACCCATAGCTTTATTATCTAGTTTTTCAAAGTTGTTTGAAAAAATTTGTCACTGTCGAATTTCTGACTTCACTATTAAACAAAATTGATTATGTAATAGCCAACACTGTTTTAGACCAAATTTTTCAACAAATACGGCCTCGTTTTCGTTAGTTAATAACATTGTCAATTCAATCGATAAAGGTTGGTCAGGTTGGTTCTCTTCTTTGATTTAATACGAGCTTTCGACAGCATTCAAAAATATTTTATGGTTGATAAACTTATAAAAATGGGTTTAAGGTATCCAATTGACAACTGGGTTCACTCTTTCCTAACTGACAGGGAAATAAATGTGAAAATTGGCAACAACATATCTCATTCTTCTAAGAATCCATTGGGGGTTCCCCAGGGGAGTGTTTTATCTCCCCTACTATTTATATTGTTTATCAATGATTTAGAACAACATATAACTGTCGAAGATACCACTTTGATTCTTTACGCAGATGACAGTACAATATGTTATGTATTAGTGCCTCATCTGCTGACGAGCTTCAAGCGAAAGTGAATGCCACACTTGAACAATTTTATACGTGGTGTACCGAAAATAATTTGATTATCAATCCAGCAAAACATTACAAAGAATTACATTCTTTAAAAGACGAATATTCCCTAATGTAGTAGGGTCGTTAAATAATACAGTGATTGAAAAAGTACAACACATTTCATCCCAGCGGCGCACAAATATGTTTGTATTAGTCATATATTACTTATAAGCGTAGCTAAAAAAAAAAAAAAGCTCACGCACTTCAAAACCTAACCACTTTTTCGTTTTATTCTAACAAAAAGGTTACGCAATCAGTGACTTCACTCGAGTGGTGGAAGTAAACATCTCGAGATATCTCGAGTGATCTCAATAATCGAGTACCACTCGATTTTTCACTCGAAATCTCCCATCACTACTCTAAATGCCACACTTGAACAATTTTATACGTGGTGTACTAAAAATAATCTGATTATCAATCCAACAAAAACTCATTACATTACATTCTTCTTTAAAAGACGAATATGCCCTAATGTAGTAGTGTCATTAAATAATACAGTGATTGAAAAAGTACAAAACACAAAATTCTTAGGACTTTTCATTGACGAGCAGCTTACTTGGTCGACTCATATTGATGATCTCGTAAAGACACTAAATACTGCCTATTATGTGATCAGGAATCTGAGAAATATAATGGATAAACATTATCTTTTAAATATTTATTTTGCATTATCATATACCCATTTAAAATATTTAATAATTTACTTTACTAAGAAAATTATAAGAATAATCTTATCTTTCAATCCGGTTACAATCTTGTTAACCATTATTTATACAATATAATTTTTTTTTCTTTACCTTGTATATTGATATACGAAGCAGCCGTATTTGTTAAAAGCCATCCTGAATTTTTCAAACAACATAACAATGTGCACGCGTATAATACACGAGGAAACAATCTAATTTATTTAAATAATCATAACCTAACGACATACCAAAAGGGGCCGCTTTACTTATGTGGAACAGTTATCGGTAACTGTTATTATTCGTTACAGGAATTTTATGATTTTCCTGTGTCGAGGTAAATTGTTCGTTTTTTATGTGTATATATGTATAGTTCTGTATTCTTTTTTTCTAACTTTGGTTTGTATTATATGTTAGAATAATTTATGACGTTTCATATCCTATGACAAGCTTACATAAATAAAGATTTATTATTATTATTATATTGACTTGAAACTCAGCATAGATATCAAGAACAGTACTACCAACCTACAAAAAAATAATTGTTTGCTCTCATAATACTAACAAACTTTAAATAAGTAAATCGCCTTATTTTTTGGACACAGTAGTATATACCCGTATATAAAATTTGAAAAGTAACTAGTGAGACTTTTACTGGTTTTAAAGTTAAACGACGGCGTATTTTATTTATCTGAGATCTCAGATAATCTCAATTGTTCTGAATACCGATTGGTCAATTAAGTGAGATAACTGAGATCTCAGATAAATAAAATGGGACAGATACGAGTTATGACTGAACCACAAAACTTAAATTGAATAAGAAATATCATTGCTTAAAGTTCTGTCGAAGTATATGTGTTATGGATCAAGTGATTAATCGGTCATTATGTAAAATATCCAATATGAGGGTGCAATTTGTTAATAATTATTCAAATAATCAAATTGTCCATCACCTTTTGGGCAGAGTAATACAAACATATTTAATTACTATTTTTTTATTATTATTGTCATTTAACTTAAAATAAACTAAATGTTAAACAATTTAAATAATCAGAATCATTATTTGGATTAATTAACAAGGACTTCTACATTAAGAATCCACTAGTTTCTGCATTTAAAACTTAAGGAAAGTCATATTAAAAATATAGGTAACACAAAACATATAAAGTTTAAAACAAACATTTCACAACATATCTTTGTTTTATAGAAGTTTTGACATATTATTATAAAACATAAAATAAAGTTTAAGCTTCCCTCCCCGCACCGTGTCAAGCTTTATTATCAAATTACCCAATTGTTACGTAGCAATATAATAATGACCGTGCAATGTGATAAATAATGAAGTTTCGATAGTAATTAATCACTTAGCCCGATAGAGCCAGACATTATTCATAATGCTCGCACATTATTAATAATGCCCGCATTAATCACCTGGCCCATAACATATGCATCACGTGCAATTTGAAAGAGTTAATGAACAAATAGGAATGGCAAAAATTAAGATGCGAAAACTTGTATCAGAATTAAATTATCCTATGATACTCATACTATCCCTCGAATTTTGGTAGTCACACGATAATTATTGCACGATGGTCAACAACTACGGATATTGTACATACAATGATACGATGCAATTAAAATTTAAAAAAATATATACCTGACACAGAAACTGCAGCAGCAACTACTAGAAACAGTGCTAAAACTTTCATTTTTCTAGTAACTTTTGACGATTACTACATAGATTTGTCAGTTGCAATGCATTTATATACCGTTGGTTTACATGTATGTAATGCGCATGCTGCCAATTCCCTACTTCTCGCACCCACCACCCAATCACCAATCTTTTGATTCACCTGTCCACAAAATAACTAATATTGACAATTACGTAGCCTCCCTGCCACTATTTCGAGCTTTTTGGCCGATACATGTCATATCTTTATTTCTACTGAACTGATCCTATCCACATTGATCTACAAGCCGCACCTATTGCTAAAATAAATAAACGAAACTTAATATTATGCACAGACCAAATAATGTTAGACCAACTTAACAACTAATGAGAGAATTTTCTAGTCCTACCTTACTTAATCCACAAGGGAGGCTTTAGCTTAGGATGGAATCATGCTAAGAGTGTTAAAATATTTTAAGGTTGATACGCATCAGAGATCTTATACTAAGCCTAAAGTCAAATCAGCAAAGTAAAACATACTCTTTACCATTATACAGTAACAGATACATGTCTGCCTCTGATCTGAAGCTTCGCATCGATCAATTTATTCGATACTTATTTAGCAGCACCCTAATGCCTGTCCTGTCTACCTGGTGTGCCGGTGAACAATTCAGGATTATTGCTGAGGGACGTTAGTGCGTTTGAGTGAGTTTGACTCTTTGCTTGGTCGAGTATACGGCATATGTTGTTATAGCAGTCAGTAGCACTGTGTATCGTAACCCAAGTAACATTTTGAATTTTATAAGAAACTTGAAGACGTCGCTACGACCAAATATACAACTTATGTTTAGACGTATCTACTTCTTTACAATCTCTTTACGACTGAATTTGGACTGTTGGAAACGAGCTTTCATGACTTTTGATACAACTTTTACATAACTTACCCCGATGTGACTATTATAAGTCCCTTAGGTCGTGGGAATTGTGAGCCACCTTAATGTAATAAAGAAGTTGTTATAAGGTTGAGAAAACCTTTATTAGGACCTTCATACTTCCACATAGTCGTAAATATAGAACGTAATGTTAACGTATAGAGGGTATGATAAGGTTATTTATAACAGTCTGACAATACAACTTGTAGTCCAATTTTGACATAATGTTTCATTCGGACACAACAAAATAACTTAAAGGTCATATTGTGTTGGTACGACAAGACAAGACGATGGTGGTTAGTAGAAACAAAATATGTTACCTACTACATAGTATTTAATAGGTATTATGCAGAACTGCTCAGTGTCTACATCGATTTTTAACGATTGTATGGATCAAAATCTATTGCGGATTTTTATTTACTGTGAAAGTTACAAAGATAGCTTGAAAAAATACAACTCGCCCTCAAAATAATGAAAGTTAAATACAATTTAAAATATAAAATTTTTTTAAACTTTAGGTTTCAATGTTTCAGTCTATGTAGATTTGTACAGCATCATTAAAAATTCAGAAATAACATATTTTCCAATCAAATTACTATGTGGTGTGTCTACAAATCAAATTGAAAGTTTTAGTATTTTAGTTAGTTAAAGATGGCTACCAAGTTTTGCTGAACTTCTGATGGAAAATATGGCTGATAGTACATATATGACTTAGTGGTTGTAAAAGATAAATTGTACGACAGAGAAGTTATAAAGTGGCTAAAACTTGGAATAATGTTTTGTATGTATTGAGGTTATGTATGACCAGGGCCGTCTCTAGGAATTTTTGCAATTGATTTGAAATGCCTCAACATAGTCACATTTTGTTATGAAGTTAAACAAGAGGAAGTATTTTTAATCAACAGTAGATGAAATTTGTCATTATAATTTGTTGAAATTTGTCATTCCAGTGACCAAAATTTGTCCACCAAAATATTCATTTTCATAATTAATACTTCTTATTTCTAGAGTTTTACTAAAGTTTTATTGAAATTACTCAGAGCAAATATCAAATTTGATGCTCGGGGCAGATGCGAAATCGAAAAGCTGAAAAAACTTAATATTTTTCTCTTTATTTGAAAAGACAACCCTGTACTAAGTTCATTTTATTCATAAGACTGTCATCGGCCACAGGATAATCATCCGTCAAAAAATATAAATTTAATAGAAAAATATTTTTAATTTCAAATACCATTTATGGTAAATCAATTAATAAATTATTTGGGTACATTTATAAAGTATGAAGCAAAGGGGAAAATACAGCTGAGTTATTATAATTAATAGGTTTACCTCTTCCATGATAAATACCAATAACCATTGGTTTGACGTTCGGTAATTCAAAAATATTAACTAGAATAGCCCAAAATTATTAATGAACCGGTCTGCTTCTTTTTGCGTTCGATCAAATACAGAATTTATAGTAATATTATGGCCACAATGTTCATTTTGGTTGCTTTCAAAGCAACAGCAGCCGTGTTTTTCTTAAAGCTGTTTTACATTGACAATTTATCGACGAATTAATTCATGAAGTCGCTTCATCAAGAAATTGGACAAGTGTAATGCACCAAATCTGCTGTCAAATAACTTCATGAATTTATTCATCAAGTTCTTGACAAATTAGAGCATGTTCTAATTTTCGTCAATTTTTTCGTGAAGTTCGGAAATACCAACCCAAAAGATTTCCAACCTCAGATCAGTAATGAGGTTATGTTAATGGAATATGTAAAAAATTGCGTGGCGTCGTATTAATTTTGCATTGTTTTTACTGATTTGTTACTTACAAAAACTAATATTTATATAATATGTGTCAGAACGGTACCGCTGTTGTATCACTACAATTATGAGTGGAAAGGTGACATTTTTGAAATTTATTTGCTTCTTTGATTCATTGGTA